ATACAGAACGGAATTACTGGAAAACGTCGATGTTGCGCAATCTGAACGCAACTGCATTCGTGAACAAGCAGTCCGGTCCGTGAAAGGTACAGCATCTGCCCTCACTCTACGATTAATACGTCAACAGAATCACTCGAGTTTCTGGTTATTATTCAAGCTTTCAGGCATGTTCGACTTAAATGCATGCTATAATTTATTTGCTTTCAGTAATATCGGAATAAAACGATTAATGATCGGCATACATACAATACGCCATTTGCTGTTCTCAGGCAGTGAAGACCTTGAAGCTGGTCTTCTGGGTTGTGACGCCGTGTGGACTTACGGGCGGATACCAGCGTTTCGGTGGAACATACTGCCTCTATCTGCACTTCAGTCCTGAAGATGAAAACTGTATGTTCCTCCGAAACGCTGGAACCCACTTACGGTGTCACAATCCAGACCACCAAGACAACTAAAGACAACATTTTATAAAATCTTCGATGTTTCTCTCTTAAGACTAAATCTAGAAATACAATGGTCAATCACGTAGGCGATAAACTTAATTATCACAGAGTTATTAAGAGTTAACGAGGGTTACCACTAAGGAAAGATGAAACAAACATTCGGGCTCCTTATCTGAGGATAAACAAGTCTTCCTGTTTCCCGTGAAGTGTGGGCGCGTAATTTCCTACCAGACAATTTACAGACCTTGAGGCAACTTGTAACAAAGAGAATAAGCTGTTGCTACTGCAAAAGTAACACGACGCAAGCGACGAGATGAACTAAATTAATGGTGCAAGGTCTTCTTTGAAGACACCACAGTTTCCCAGCTGGTCCCGAATTCCGGCTTTAGAGGTACCCGAAGACTCATGGATCAAATCCTCAACTCAATCTGCTTCCAATTGTAAGATCCTACTTCTCGGACATCCACTTTAATATCCCCACATGGTTTATTAAATCTAATAATGTTTTAATAGTATTATATTACGATTAGAAACATTGTCTCTTAGTGTATTTAACATCTCGACCTAATGATTGATCAACTGAATTAGATTCCAACAACGCAGACAGTTTGCAGAAAGATCTCTTCACGATTAACAAGGTTTGAGGTTTTAACGGCGAATTGCCTCTCTTCCGAAACTCTGGTAACTACCTACTACACGGCATCACGACGATCCATATCGTCGTGATTTAATTTCATGAATTTCGTGTACAGAAAGACACAATAATGGCTTTTTATTGTTTCTCGTACAAGAAACAGTTACTTCATAGCGTTTCGCTCATGAGAATTATGTGAAAAGTTGAGACCTTCAAGTCATTACGGTGAGTCACCTCTGAATCCGTTCTGCACAGCGCGGCCCTCATTGGTCCCTTAACTTTCGAGTAGATCAGAAGTGAGGCAAACAGTCACGAGAAGCCAGTTTTACACAGTTAATACCTGACAAAGCAAATCAAACAAGAACACAGCGAAAGGCGCGGGTGCTATGCACTGAATGACTCAGTTGCGTTGCGTGTGGGTCCCGAGCATTCGAACGCCGCCTTCTGTCCTCAGGCAGTCAGAGTAACCAGCGATTACTTCCCTAAATATCATTAACTAACGAATCTCTAAAAAGGAGACTTCTTCTTCCCGTTAGGAACCGAACTTGAACTTTCTGCTTCAAAGACTAAATTTGCAATTTGTACTAGTTTAATGTCTTTCATATTTACCGATTTTAATACTTAAATTTATAAATGTTTACTGTAATTATATCATGTATCTATAAAATGACAGGTTCGTAATTCTGGACCAAAAAAAAAAAAATACTGCACGGAACACAATCCAAACCATTTCAGAATTAATGCTACTAGAGTATGCTCCACTGTAATTGAACAATACAAATAAACTTTTCGCTTTTCCTTGTTCTTGCCTCGTGCCTTCCCAACTTCCCTTCTTCTTTGTGAGTGTGGAACATGGTGATACTGCAGGTTTCTGCCAACTCACCATGGCCGATTCCTGAAGCTCTGTCTGCTCTCTAATATCAAGGTCTGAGGTACGCCACTGCACAAGATAACATCAACTTTGAAGGGCAGCAGCTTCCGAAACGAAAGTTCAGAGACGGCATCCACAAGTTTACGTGTTACGCACAGGAGAGTTCAATCCCAAATTAACAAGGGCAGAAGATCTAATCCTTGGCGAAGGCGTATGACAAGTTTCCAAAACATTTTCCCTTCGATTTCGTATCATTCACTGGTCATCGTGTTCATTTACTGCAGACACATCGATGTGGAATGCAACAAAGTTTTCAAGCTACGTAGCGGTTACAGCGATTGACGTCTTATGGGAGATCCCGGGATCGATTCTCTGCTCTACAGATGGCTGCACTTTATTTTTAATAACCACGAAAATACTGGGACACTATCTCAAAATAGGCCACAACCGCCATACTATAATTCTATGCCATATTACCCACACAGATGAGAAAGCGTTGTTAAACCGAACAAAAACCAACGATGACCAAAAATAAATTCTGACGACAACTTTAATCGAAAATACGTGTAGAAATTAACACGCAGTTGACAGCAAAGAGTGGCATTAGACACAAATACAGACATGTTCTGAACTAAACTTTGAACACAGAAATGAGTCCACTCTGCATAAACATCGTTTTCATACACACAACTGATGATGCCATTAATTTATGTCAAACACGTTTGCAAAATGCTTACATGTGTCTGTCGGATGCCACATCCTCTTTCTTCACACGTGAAAGACGAAGACCTCAGCGGCAGGTCTCTTTACACAGAGATGGGCAATTTTCATTATATGGCCAGACGAGACCAATTAGAAGTGGCAACGTGCCAGAGATCATGAGAATAAATGTAGTTAAAGTTGTTAACTTTTACTCTTTTACTGGGAAGTACGTTCCTCGTTTGTTGTTCCGCCAAATTTGGTCCACACAGGATATACGTTCTCAAACATGCCGTAGTTGGCGAAGAACATAACTTATACCCCAAGTAAATTTTCCGTCAATAGATCTATAGATCAGGAACACGTATCCCAATTAAGAATACACCAAAGTCCACTTTGGGAAAACAAAATACTTTGGTTACGAAACGGTTGCGATCGATTGGATTCGTTATCCGCTGGCCGTACTAAGCCCACCATCGCCGCAACTGAAGGGTCACAGACTCTTGGCAGTAGGTCGCATAATGATCGATATTGTGAAAGTAATTTATTAAACTGCGTTCGGAAAACAGTTTATGCCGGAGAGTAATAATTCATCCCCCACGAGTGCCACCCACTGCTAACCAAGGACGACAACTTTTACATAAGAACAGGGGTAGCCAAAATTTTCGAAGTCAAATAGTAGAATAATTTAATTTTAAAATGTGCGCCATTGGCATTTAAATACTCTGCATATTATGATAAAGGGGCCACGCATTCTTTCACAAGATTTAACACAATTCCAAACATAAGAAACTACAAGCACTGACCAAACAACCTCTGCCTCAGCTGTTTACTTTAAATCCCTTGCGGGCACTCGAGAACAGTTCCGTGGTAACTCTGGTGCTCGCGGACAAAAGGCTGTCAACCCCTGTATAAAAGTACGGGTCTTTACTGAAAACGTACACATGAACTTCAAGTCTGCGTATATTAATATTCATGTACCGTGTGTATAAAGTACGATAAATCAATTGCAATTACTAACAGTTGATGTTACTTTTTTTTTCTCGTCACGATCCTCCGACTTACGGTTGCTTGAAAATAAATCCACCCGGGCCAAAAGTAAACGAACTGCCCACCCCTGAATTGAGGTGCCGCATCTGTAGGAAAAGGATGAAGTAATGACTGATAGAAACAACGTGACAGAGGCGGGGGGGGGGGGGGG